CCCGGTACCGCCCCGGTACCGCCCCGGTACCGCCCCGGTACCGCCCCAGCGCTGCCCCGCGGCCCGCCGGGAAGCGCCGTGCGCGGGGCGGAGCCGGAGCCACTTCCCGGTCTGCGAGCAGCCGCTCACCCTCGTCCTTCACAGCAGGGCCAGAGGGTTTCCACCGCCCTTTCTCCGCCCGCGGGGAGCGCCAGCGTTCCTGAGAAGGGCGGGCTCCCCGCCTGCCCGGAGGAGAGCCCAGTACCGAACACCAAAGACTCTCAGAATCGATTAGGTTGGAAAAGACCTCTGAGATGATTGAGTCCAACCTATGAGCGAACACCACCATGGCACTACGTCCAGTCTTCCCTTAAACAGCGCCAGGGACGGTGACTCCACCGCCTTCCTGGGAAGTCTATTCTAATATCTAATCACCCTGTGAAAAAATTCCTCCTTATGTCCAGCTTAAACCTTCCCTGTTGCAGCTTGAGACTATGTCCTCTTGTCCTGTCGCTGGTTGCCTGGGAAAAGAGACCGACGCCTATCCGGCAACAACCTCCTTTCATACAGTTGTAGAGTGATAAGGTCATCCCTGAGCCTCCTTTTCTCCAGGTTAAACAGCACCAGCTTCTTCAGCCGCTCCTTATACCGCTTGAGCTTCAGACCCTTCACCAGCTCCACTGCCCTTCTCTGGATGCAGAACGAAAAAAGTCTCATGCCACAGAACAAAATCTCACATCGCAGAATGAAAAAAAGTCCTCTATTATTTTTCTTCCCGAACGAGATTTTCCTTGCAGCATGTGCTCTTCCCCACTCCGCTCCCACCGCAGCCACAGTGCCCCTCACTGGACACACTCACCCCTCGGTGAATCCCTAGGGAAAGCTTCCTGAAGCATAACCCCGAGGACGTGGACTTTCCTCCTGCCAATGCTGGACGAATCCCATATACGGAGTACTCTGGATGAAATGTGACAGTCTCCATGTCAAGAGCAAAATAACTGTAAAACCAGTTAAGCATAGCAGCCGGCCACCATCAGAGTCCCTGTTCCTCAGTGTAACTATCATTATTAAGCAAAACTTATGAGACGTACATATTACACTGCATATATGTCTTAAATACCTTAAAGAACACAGTGCAAGTATTCCAGAGAAACCTGAGCCCTCAGCCCAAACTCAGCTTGCAAAAACAGCTGATCTGGAAAATAAATTTTCAAAACCTATGGGTTCTGTTCAGTCGTGAGGCTGCAGGCTTTGGGAAATTAAATATCAGAAGTTAAGTCACAGTGGCTGCACAGCACAGCCACTTTTTATGAGCAAAGAGATCCTACCTCCAGGATAAGTTTGCTAAGCAGTATTTGCAACTCTGATCCATTGCTTACCTACTCTGCTGAAGACCTTTTCCAAATGTAGGGTTACCGTTCCCATGACAAATGAAAAGCAAACAAGATAGAAAACAAATTTTATTGAGTGAACAAAAGTCTAAAAGTCTCCCATTTTTGGTTAACAAAAGCAGCAACCTACAAAACCCCTGCATTCCATGACAAATCTTTTTATGTCAAAAAATTAATCCTTGAGCAGGTATGAACATTTGTACACAGAACATTGCAACTGTTGAGATGTGTTTGGGCAAACAACTAGATAAATTTCAAATCAGGGAAAACAAGAAAAGAAAAAAATAGACTGCACGTGGACACCTGAAAAAGCTTGAATTGTTTGCTGGCTGAGAGGTATATCATCGGGGCTGTCAGCAGTTTTCGGCACTTGCACCCCCTTCATACAAAATAAAAAGAGCAGCAGAAAAAGGACAGAGACTTTAAGACTGAACAAGAAAAAGAACTGCCAACAGAACATAGTGTTCAGCTAGCTCATTTGGCTAATGGTAAATGCAGCTTTTAATACTGAATTTCACAAGCTTGTGTTAAGTGAGTCCGTGTTCTGAAGAGGCTCCAGGATAAGAATTCAGCCACTATACCCACAGAGCAAAAGCAACAGAGAAGTTCCATCCTCAAAAAGGCAATTCCCCACAGTCTAAAACAGGCAACCAGATAAGGGAAAAGAAAGTGAGACCTGCTTCTCAAGATATGATTATCTGACCGACAGAAGTCTAATGGGAACTAAATGGAGAATGTACATTCCCTTTGTAAATCCAAAAGGTTTTCTAACCTATGTGATTTTTTTTTCCTTTGCAATGGATATGGGCAGCCTTAATAAAATTAAGTGTTAAAAAGGAAGGCAATGATTACTTTTATCCTTACACCATTTGCAGAATAACCCTTTTTTATAAAGTCATACCACAGTTTTTCATGCTTTTGAACACTAAATATTTTCAATGAAATCTGTTTATTACATTGACTAATTTCAATCTGCTCTTTTGTTTTCACAAATCAGGACATAGTACAATTATTTCAAAAGAAATTATTGATTTTGCTGTCATATTTATCTTTGATTGCAAAAGTACAATAATCTGTGCTTATCTGTCACTTTACACATCAGATCTTGTCCACTGCAACCATATCATCATATTTATTTAATAATTATGAGGCTGTATCTTATACCATAATTTCTATTCATATGTATTCTAGGACTAATAGATCCCTAATATGTTTTGATTAAAACTAACTTTGATATATCAACTCTATCATCTAAAGTTAATTTTAATCATTTCCATCATAATCATTATAACTCTGATACCCACTGTTCCTCCTCTCCCGAAGATTAGATTTCTTCCACGTAGATTCTTGATGAAAACTAGCACTGAAAGATCGACCCAGTCGTCCATGTTGTTTCTTAGAGATATTGTCTTCACTCTCAGATTTGGAAATTCCTTGTCCTTGTGTTTGGGATTGTTTATTCTGTCTAACATTTCCAAATGGAAAATTCCAAGGACCAAACCTTTGCCAGTTAAGTCTCTGAAAGGCAATGATGCAATGAAGATTTCCTCCAACCTAATCAAAGTAAAAAGGCTCTTTGTTAAATGCACATGGGTGCATTTCTGAAATACATTGATATTTGACATCAACATCTTGGCAAGTAACACAATCATTTCAAAAAGAAAATACACAAAAAAAGCTAACAACGTACAAACCAGAAAAAAAACAACAAACAAACAAAACCAAAACCCCACAAAAAAACCTCCAACACAAAACCATATACACAAACAAACAACTCGCATCAATCAGTTTTTAATTGTTTCCCAGATTCAATTACTGCCTTCTTTCTCATCTTTTTAAGTTATCCATTTTATCTTTCATGGGCCAGTATTGCTTATCTTCTGCTAGTCTTTTTTACTTTCTAGCTACCTTCTCAGAAATTATCTGTTCTGGTCCATTCTGATCTTGCTGACACAGTCTTCCATAGGGTCTTCACGTTTGAAATTATCTCTTCAGTCTATTATTTCTCATAGACTTGCAATCCGCAAATGACAAATACATCTTCCACCCACAACATACAGCCCTATCTATAGGAAAGAAAGCCACATGCATTGACACTAAGTCTGCACAAGGGACAGACATGCATTCTTTTATCCCTGATCCTACTCGATTTTACCTTGTTTCCCACTTAAAGGAAGCTAGAAGGGTCATGCCCCAAAGGGTTTGTAATTTGGCTGCGGAGTATTATCATGGTTGCTGCAGCTACATTTTAAACCAGCAAGGTTAAATATTGTGACCAAATACATTGTATAACACACATATACAACATCGTATACACACATGAACACATCCTGGTTCATCCTGGCATATGCCAAACTATTGCTGTTCTTGTCCTACAAATAAATATAAAAGATGCTGGTATGCAAGTACCCACATTTTACTTTTTTTCTTCAGCAATGCTTCACAACAAACTTCTTTAGTGAAGTTATCTTACACTGCTGAAGTAGGAGTAAGTTTGCAAAAATTTACCATGAATTTCCTCCCATCTTAGTAGTTTACCTTACCTTCTTTGTTTTTCGATGCTGCAATCCTCTCTCTAGGTGTCGAATATCTAGATATTCTGGATTTTGAGTGTTTAAGTCAGTGACAATATCTGCCCACCTACAGAATAAAATTTTTACTACTCAGCTGACATTTAAGAAATCTCAGCAGGATTAAGACTCAGGTATATGTGCACGCAAATACGGAACTGTAGCTTTAAATGGTCTTAGCAGTGATTTAAAGATAAATGAATCTGTAAAGATATAAGAGCCTCAATATCAGAGACATCAACATAGATATAAAAGCGTCATGTTTAATCAAAGCATTCACAGTGATTATTCCTGCTCTTGGAAAATGCCTTTCAAAATGAGTGAGAGCACCATGAGTCATTAGTTACATTCCTTATCCTTACCAATTCATCAGTTTGTGACAGGAAGAAACAAAGTGTGGTTTAGGCAAGTAGAAACATTAGCTTTTCCTTTACTTAAACCTCTTTTACCGTTTTGTATTATTTTGTTTAAACCCTTGGTTTTTTCCACACACTAAATCTGCTTTTACCAGACAGCTCTTGTTGTAACTCCATTTTATTTAAATCTAAACTATCAGTTGAATCATTCTCAACTCACTCAGCTCTTCAAAGATTCATAATTCCTTCTAGCACAACTGAAACAAATATCTACATATTCCAGACCTCTTTAAACCTACACATCACCTTTTCATTTCTACCAATGTCTAATTACCTGTTTCTCTCTAACGCCATCCTCCAAGTTCAGCAAATGCATTTATACCCCAACCTTTGCCTTCCTACCTTAAGCACAGAACTTTCTGCTAGCTCTCATTGGGAGTGTAGCAAAAGACAGAATGTCTCCACAATCAAAATTAATATTACAAAGGTTTTTATTCTGGATTCAGAAACCTTTTCCCGTGCCATTTGTAGTTTATATACCACAGGACAAAGTTCTGTCATGGAGATCTACAACACGCCATTTCTCAGCACAATAACCACATGCATAATGTGATTTTAATTTTATTGCACTTAATCTCATTAGTCCAAAAT